ACAGATATCCTTTACTCATTCATTAACTCAAGCAATCACTTATTCATCTGATATTTACTGGGGGCCCACTACTTGGTGAGGCTCTGAGCATACAGTTGTGAACAAGAAAAGTGCCTGTCCCATGTGTGAGGGCCATGCAGTTACCACACTAACTGACAAGACAATAAGAGATGTTGATGAGTTCTCTGAGGGACTTGAATCGGGGTGAGGGGTGAGGCTGCTGTGGCCAGGGGTGTCAGGGAGGGTCTCTCAGAGAAGGTGACCTTTCTGAGGAGGCCTTCAGGCTGGGAGGGAGCAGCATGGAAGTCCTGGGGTATAGGTGTGCCAGGTGAGGGCTCAGCCAGGGCACAGGCCCAGAGGTGGGACCCCTCTGAGGAGCAGGGGAGGAGCTCGCGTTCTTCCGGCTCTTCCGCGCACCTCTGGGTGATCCAGGCAAGTCCCCTGACCGCTCTGGGCCCGGTCTGGCCATCTGCAAAAAGAGGGAGTCGGACTCCATCTGGTGCAGACCGTCTGCTTCCCAGCAGCCTCCTCAGCTGCCCAGCCCTCTTTTGTATAAACTCACGTTCCTCGTCCTGGGCTATTTTGCCATTTCCTTTCAGGCTGAACCAAAGGGGCTATTTTGGAAAGTCTTACAAGCGAACTAAGCCCTGGCTGGCATTTGAACGGATATAGAAGAGCCTTAAGTGAGGGATCAGGCATAACAGCCGCCCAGCCCCGAGAGCCCATGCCATTAAATTTAGAAGCGTCACCTCCAAATGAGGTGAAATTGCAGGTTCCCTCTGGCCGGTGGGCGGCCTTGGCCGGCAGTGAGCAGGACAGATTTAGCAAAGCCAGCTCTAGCTCCCTGCAGCCGCACCTTCAGGGAAGTCCCCGGGGTCTGGGGAGCAGATGGCCACGGGAGAAGCCCCCTGTGCTCACCTGCTGGGTCCGAGGGGCATCAGCCTCAGCGTGCCAGGCCAGAGAGAGGCAGCGAGGGACACGTGGGGAAGAGGCAGCTCTGTCTGCCACCAAAGGTTTGGGATCTGCATGATTTCTGGGCCTCTCTCCTCCCCCAAGGGGGCCAGCAAGGCCCTGGCCTGCCTCTCATGCCTTGTAGCATGCCGGCTGCCCACAGCTATGCCAGGGACTTCCCAGACCTACCCACAAACCAGCAGCTATAGGGTCAATGCCAGCCACAGTGGGGGAGGGAGGGAAGGGGCATCTGGGGGAGAAATGGGGCCTCCATGGCACCCAGCCTCTGTGCTGAGTGGTCAGTGACCCTATTATGTCAATGGTTAAACATTAGGAATTATCACCCTTAGTCAGAAGTGACAAACATTCATTGGGGCTTGTCAAGAGCTGCCCATTGACAGCTCGTGAGATCCAGGGGTCTCAGCTGAGCCATCCCAGCCCCAGTCCTCCAGAGAGGGGACTGTTTTGCAGCAAGAAACCCAGCCAGGTGAGATTGAAGAGGTCAACTATGTGAGGTCCGCCCCACTGGGAGGAGGACGCTGGCCTCACAAACCAGCAGGTTGCCTGGGAGCCCCTGCTGGTCCAAAGGGCCCTCAGGGACGTGGGCGCCCACACCCTGAAGCCTGCAGTGGATGGGGCTTGCTTTTTCTCAGCCATTCCCCAGTGCTACGATTCTAGCTTGGCAGATCCCTTGGTGAGACTGTTTTCCTTCTGGGGCCCCCTTCCCTCCCCTTCAGCCCGGGTCTGGCTCATGGGAGAGGGAGGTGCGTGTCCCCCGCACAGCCCCTGGGGAAGAGGCGCAGCCTGCTGTGAAGTGGCCAGGCTTCGGAGTCCATGGTGCCCAGGTCCAAATCCCTGGCTTGTTGTTTCCTACCTATGTGACTGTGGGTGGGACTTTTCCCCTCCTCTCTGAGACTCAGTTTCTTTATCTGCAAAATGGGGGTAAGAATAACATTTGTCTCATATAGTGTTGGGAAGATTAAATGAGATCTTAAGCCCTTAGAGCGGGTTGCAGGCAGAATGCTGGCTACCAGGGGTCAGGGGTAGTGCCTGCTACCCAGGCGTCATCCATCAGTAGCTGCTGTAAGAAACATTTTACTCAAACATAGCCGTGCTCATTCATTTACATATTGTCTGTGACTGTGCTCTTTACCTTGGACTCTAACACATAGTAGAAATTCTTATCCTTATCTTTATCCTACCCTCATTCTTCCACTGCCTTCCAGTCTTAGTTTTCCAGTCCCATAAAGATGTGCTGCAAAGCTTCCCAGCACCAGAGAACACCATCCCTGCAGGGAGCACTCCATCTGGTGGGGGCGGTAGATAAATCAACATTCCCGGTACACTATAACTGAAGGAGGTGCGGGTGGGAGGTAGGGGGAGGTTCTGGAAGGCTTCCTGGGGGAGGTGACATCTGGGCTGGAGGAGGATAAGGTGTTGGCCAGACCAATCCCTACACGGCAGCTAGAACTCACTTTGAAAAATGCTAACCTCTTCACCCCTTAGAGCCTCTTTCCTTGTATGAAAAGTGGGGTGATGGAAGCTCATAGTGCTGTAAATCCACAGTTGGGTCCTGGTGCACTGGGAAAGGCTGCAGTGAACCAGCATTCTCTTCGGCTCTCCTTTCCCACACATTGAGCAGCAGGACAGTGGGACTTATTTTAGTAAACTGCATGGAGAGGAACTGTTTAGCAAGCCCTCTCTCGTACCCTGGAGTGTGCAGAGACCAGAAGAGGCCAGAGGAATGACCCAGAAGGGGGGGAACCCAGCTCCCAGGCTGGCTCCAGACTTCACATCCCAACCCCCGACCTTGGGAGTCTCCCTCCCTGCTCCCCCTTCATTCCCTTGCCCAGCCTGGCTGGGTAGTCAAGTGGTTTGAGCCACTGTTCTGATGATGGGGCTGCTGGTGTGCTGGTAAATGTTTAACAACCAGCAGGAAAAGAAACCCTCACTCGCAGTACTTGCCGATTTCTGTGGTGTAAATATTTCTACCATGGCTGGTTTCAAGCTACCAAAATTCCCGAAAATGTAACAAAAGATTCTTGTGAACCGGCCCAAACTGGTGGGGGCTGCAGAGCCCTCCCTGTGGGGCAGGGCAGTTCCCTGGGTGGGATGCCTGACCGCAGCATTCCTTACAGTCTGACCCTGACTCTGCCACTTCCGAGCTGGCGTTCTCTGGCCAGTCTTGTCACCTCCCTCAATCTCAGTTTCCTCATCTGCCAAGTTAGGTTAGCAATAGCTCCTACACCTCGGGTGTGCACGTGTGGATTTAATAAGATAATTTACATAAGCATTTAGCACAGGGCTGGCTTGATAATCAACACATGATGCCTCCACTACCAGATCACCTCAACTTCCCCATCTGCACACACTGCCGTAGCTCATGGATTTATTGCAGGGGATCGCCCCCGGCACAGGGGTTTGCCACACAGTGGGTGCTCAGCGAGGGCTTGCCAGCCCCCCGTCAGGTCCAGAAGTCCCTCACTTGGCTCGTCTGCCTCAGCGGCTCTCCTCGAGGGCTGGGGTCCTGGTTAGCCAATGGCACAGAGACAATTTCCTGAGTTTCTCTTCCGCATCTCGTGCTCCCGGTGTATTGTCTCCCTGGTCCTTTCCTGAATTTCCGTTTTGCTGATGTGATCACTGAGGCCCTGAGCCACTGAGTGGCACAGCTGCAGCTGGGATCGGAGTCCAGGTCTGGCTTTTTGGTTTCCGGTGCGCTCATCTGCGCACAGCACAGGTGGAGCTGTGGCAGGGGGCAGGGCAGGGGGATATGTAGGAGGAGAGGGATTGTGGGGGCAATACAGATTGACTGGGGGGTTCAGAGTGACAGCTGACTACAAACAAAATGCAGGGCTGGGCACTGGACAGATGTGGCTGGAAAGGCAGACATCCCAATGTGGGCAAAAGTGTGCTGGCTAGACTCCACTGGTGGGTGAGGGATGCTGGAATGCAGGGGACAGGAGGGCACTGTGGAACTTCTTATAGGCTGGCCTGGGGAGTGGGGTCCCTAGAATCCTTGGACTGATGCCACCCTGGCTGGGGAGCAAGGTATGAAATTGTAGCAGCGGAGATTTAGGTTAGATATGGAGAACTTTCCAGTTGTCTGTGCTGGAAGATACTGGGCGATATTCCCTAGGGATAAGATGGTATTTTTCCAATGTAGAGATGGTTTGGAAAAAAAAAAACGTCGGCCAGGGTTCTAGGCCTCATTGCAGACTGGGCCAGAGATGGGGCGATGGGTCAGGGGCCTCTGGAATCCTTTGATGCCAGCAGCCTGCGTCATGTGAATTGGGCTGTCACTGCCTGCTAAAAACCCTCCCATGGCTCCCAGTTACCCTTGGCCAGTGGCAAGGCCAAACTCCTCCCTGGGGCTACAGAGGCCCCCACAACCTGCATTCTGTGGCCTCCCTAAGCTCACCTGGAGCATACCTCAACCTACTGAACTTCTCCCTACTCGGGATGTCATGTCCTCCACACACCCAGGCCTTTGCCCATGCTGTTCCCTCTGCCTCAGATACCCTTCCCTTCCCCTTTGCTCCTCCCTAGCTTTTCCTTTTCAGCTCCTGGTTGCCTCCTCATGGTCAGGTCAGATGCCCCGAGCCCCCCGTCACTTCACTAGCCTCCCCACTGGAACTGTGTGGGGCTCAGCAGCTTCCCTGCGGGCATGGAGGCCTGGAGGGCAAGGGCTGTGCTGTCGCGCCCAGTGCCTGCCTCTAGCACAGTGTCTGGCACATGGAAGGTGCCCAGTGAGGGTTTGTGGGGGTGGGTGAGGGTTATGGGCAGAGAGGGGTGCTGAAGGCTGGTGAGCAGAGCTGGGCTGGGGGGAATTATTACCCTCTGCTCAAGGACTCCGCGTTGCTCAGACTCCTGGGCTTGAATTTTGCTGCTGCCTCTCTCCCCAAGCAGGTTTCCTCACCAAGCCTGTTTTCTCATCTGTGAGCTGGGGAAGGACATGCTGGCCTCCTTGGGTATCATGGTGGAGGGTCACGGCCTGTGGTCAGCACGTCAGGTGGCAGTGTGGGGCTGACTCTGCTGTCCTCTCCCTGTAGGTGACAGCCATGTCCATGCGGGTGCGATTCCTGTCCGCTGGGGACACAGGGGCTGTGGGTCTTGTGGGCCGGAGCGCCTCCTTCGCGGGCTTCAGCAGTGCACAGAGCCGGAGGATTGCGTAAGTTGTGCTTGGGCCAAGTGGCCGTGTGGCTTGTTTGAGGGCTGGGTGGGGATGGCAGGGACATCCTCCTCCTGCTGGACATGACCCTGAGGCTCCCTCTCCTGCCAGGCCTGCAGCCGAGGACAGTGTGTGTGTGTGTGTGTGTGTGTGTACGTATATGTGCACACATAATACTCTTGGTGTTGGGGAAACCTATGCTGTCCTTGAGACCTGAACCAGTATCACCTCGCATGCTCCTGGCCGTTGGTCCTGGAAGTCGATCTGCCTGAGCTTAATCAGGCCCACTGGGCAGATCCCTCAGAGAGACAGAGCCACTCACCCAAGGTCACACAGCAAGAGTGGTTCATGGCTGGAATTTGGCCTCTTAGGGGGCAGGGCTAGGATGGAATGTTGCTCCTGTCTGACAGACGGGAAGTGGGGCCACCTCACCCAGCTCTGTGACCTGAGGCAGGCGACTTCACCTCTCCGAGTCCAGTTTCTTCACCTGTGACATGGGGATCATGAGTGTCCCTCCCTCACGTGTTGTCATGAGGGACACACTGCAAGCAGCCAGTACGTGCGCTCACACAGTAGGTGCTTGTGGGGAATGTTCTGAGGAGGAGGAGGAGCGTCTACAGAGACAGGCCTGGGGTCAGAGCTGACGCTCTGGAGGTGGGGTCAGGACTGCTCTGCCAGGGCATCCTCCAGCTGCAGGCAACCCCCAGGAGGAAGGTTCACTTCCATTCCTGGGGGCCACAGCGTGGTCAGCCCAGGCCGACCCCCGCTGGCTCCACAGCTTCTTGTCAGGCACCATGCAAGCCCCTGGGGAGCCACCTGCCAGCTGGCAGGCCTGGGGGTGGGACAGTCCCTCAGGCACCTCGAGGGGCCCAAAGATCTGCCTGTCCGAGCAGATGTGGTGGACTGGCAGGGTCCCTCTGTCATACACTATACAGCAGACATACACTATACAGCAGACACATCTACTGCCAGCCCCACACCACCAGGGCACAGAGCTTGGATGGTCAGTGAGTCAGTCAACAACCAAATCTCATCCTGGAACTCTCTTGCCTGAAACCCTACAGAGGCTCCCATCTCCCTTAGAATACAATCTGGTTTCCTCATGCGGTCCAGTGGCCCCTGTGGGCTGGCCAGCCAGCCCCACGTCTAACTGCTTGAGCCACATGCCTCTCTCCCCCCGAGGCCTTTGCCCAGGCTGTGCCCTCCACCTGGAACTCGCCTTCTTCTCTTCACCTGGCCATTGCTGCTCAATCTCCTTCAGGCCTGGGCAGCCATGCAGCGTCCAGGGAGGACCAACTGAGCCCCAGCCCCTGCTCCTTCCCTAGGGTTCACCAGCTGTACATGAGGTGCCCCCCTGCCCGCAATGCCTGGCCCTCCCTGACCAGTGCCGCCTGGCCTCTGCAGCCAGGCCCTGCCAGCTCACTGTCTCCGGGCTGCTCAGTTCCGACGTGTGTCTGGGAGGAAGGGCATCTCAGGGCTGAAATCCTAGAGTGCCCCAGCTGGAAGCTCCCTTATGAATCCCTAATTCATTCCACAAATCTTTATGGAGCACCTATTCGCCCAGGCCCTGTAGCAGGCTCTGGGGACAGACCAAGGCCCCACCCTCCTGTCAGGGCAGCAAATGATAATCAAGATAGATTTAGCTGATGGCAAGCACTGTGAAGGGATGAAATAAAGCAGGGGGTTGTGGGAGGCAGCAGGGGGTCTCTGGGGAGGAGGCCTTGGGTGAGGCAGGGGCATGTTTACGCAAAGGCCAGAGCAAAGAGAGGGTCGCATGCAGACAGGGTGTGGGGTGGGGAAGATTTCTAGGTGGAGGGGACAGCAAGTGCAAAGGCCCTGAGATGGGAATGAGCTTTGAAGGACAGGAAGTGGGCATGTGGCCAGCTCTGGGTGCAGTGGGAGAGAGGGAGGAGGACCCCACCAGGCCTCGTGGGGCAGTGAGGTCATTCGCAGTGTGAGGGGAGCAACTATAGGGCTGAGCAGATGGAACTGAGGACCCCACATGGAAAGAAACGTGGCTAAAGCCCCAGAGAGATTAAAGCCCAGTGCCCCTGGCTCCAAGCCTCCAAGGGGAAAACGTGCGGATGCCACTGTGAGGAAGGTACAAGGCGGATGCCCCGTAGATGCTGCTGAGTGGGGCTAAGTCTAAACTCACGTGGGAATGACGCTCTTCATCAATGGAACCGTTTCACGGCTGTCTCTTCCTGGCCTTCGCTGGGGTTCCCCATGTGCTGTGTGAGCCCTGGAAGCTGTGTGCCTGGCGTGGAGCTGCTCTACCCAGAGGGCACCTTTCTCTTTCACACAAAGCACTGTAGGGTCTCTGTCCCTGTGGTCTGGCAGCCAGGGAGGGGTCCCAGGCCCTGCAGCCGAGGCCAGCTGCATGGGCATAGAGCTATGCCCCACGTTTAGGTTTAACGCTCTGCTGTCACCGTCTAGAAGTTCTTAGTAAGCGTTGAACAAAGGGTCCCGTGTTTTGTTTTGCACTGGGCCTCATGAATTCTGTAGCCGCTGCCTGCAGCTCTCCTCGTGGCTGGCACTTTGGGGGCCTCTGGACTTTCCACATCCATGGGAAACATGCCCTTAGGCCCCAGTCAGGAGCTCTGCCCGAAGAGTGCCCCGAGGTGGGTCCCAGGCTCTTGCTGCCCCTCTCCTGGATCCCTGGGGAGGAAGAGAGCAGAGGGGGTCCGACCCCATGACTCTAGGGCTCATCAGTCATCGGCAAGAGTAAGTGTCAGGTCCCGCCAAGTCTCCCTTGCAGGCTGGGAAAGACGGCGCTGACGGCGGCAGATGTCCTGGAGCCCCTCGGGGAATCTGCAGGATGCCTGGCCTGGGGGGGTTCAGAGGGTGCTGAGTGGCCGCCACCTGGCCTCAGCCTCCGCGGCAGTCCCCTTGTCCACGGGTAAGGAAGAGGCTGTCCACGGCGGCAGGAACATCTATTAAGTTCCTATTTCTGTCCAACTGCCAGGGGTCTGCGCCCTTGGTGCCGGGGCTGGGCGGCCTGCACTGGGTCTCAGGTCTCCTTCCTCCCAGATGATCCGACCAGGCTGAGACGTCTCATCGCCAAGGCTCAGCGGCTGGGGGCAGGCACTAGCCCGGGACGGCAGGGCAGGAGAGCAGGGCTGTCATTAGATAGCCCTTGTCCCCAGCCTCCACCCCTGCCCTGGCACCTGAGACCTCTTTGACTCCGGACAGGGCTTTTTGTTGTATAATCAAATAATTCACTTGGGGAAGTAATCTGGTGGGGAAATTTTGCATTAGGGGTGGATGACTGCTACAAGAAGGCCATATCATATAATTACATAAATATGATAAAGTATAACATAAGGCCACATACAGAAGGTCGGGCCACGAAGAAGAGGGCCGGGCCCTGAAACCATGCCAGGCTGCCCCAGTTGACCAGCAGCTGCTCTGAACCCCTTCCTGCCACTCCTCAGCCAGGTGTCCCTTCCCCCAAGCTGTCAGGGCCACCAAAATATCCTCACCACATTGGGAATTCTTCCGTGGGGACAGCTACTGCCCTTGATTTTCAAGGAGAGGAGGCCTGAAGAGGAGGGCATAGTGGAAATGCTCACGCTGCCCTGAGCATGTGGAACACTCAGGGGCACAGCGCCTGGGCCAGGGGTAATCCCTGGGCTTGTTTCTTTGATGGTAGAGAGGACTCTACCTCAGGGACGAGTGTCAGGAGTAATGGGCTGGACACAAGAAGCCCCCGGAGCAGAGCTTGACCATGCCCAGGCCCTGTAGCAGGCTCTGGGGACAGACCAAGGCCCCACCCTCCTGTCAGGGCAGCAAATGATAATCAAGATAGATTTAGCTGATGGCAAGCACTGTGAAGGGATGAAATAAAGCAGGGGGTTGTGGGAGGCAGCAGGGGGTCTCTGGGGAGGAGGCCTTCGGTGAGGCAGGGGCATGTTTACGCAAAGGCCAGAGCAAAGAGAGGGTCACATGCAGACAGGGTGTGGGGTGGGGAAGATTTCTAGGTGGAGGGGACAGCAAGTGCAAAGGCCCTGAGATGGGAATGAGCTTTGAAGGACAGGAAGTGGGCATGTGGCCAGCTCTGGGTGCAGTGGGAGAGAGGGAGGAGGACCCCACCAGGCCTCGTGGGGCAGTGAGGTCATTCGCAGTGTGAGGGGAGCAACTATAGGGCTGAGCAGATGGAACTGAGGACCCCACATGGAAAGAAACGTGGCTAAAGCCCCAGAGAGATTAAAGCCCAGTGCCCCTGGCTCCAAGCCTCCAAGGGGAAAACGTGCGGATGCCACTGTGAGGAAGGTACACAGCGGATGCCCCGTAGATGCTGCTGAGTGGGGCTAAGTCTAAACTCACGTGGGAATGACGCTCTTCATCAATGGAACCGTTTCACGGCTGTCTCTTCCTGGCCTTCGCTGGGGTTCCCCATGTGCTGTGTGAGCCCTGGAAGCTGTGTGCCTGGCGTGGAGCTGCTCTACCCAGAGGGCACCTTTCTCTTTCACACAAAGCACTGTAGGGTCTCTGTCCCTGTGGTCTGGCAGCCAGGGAGGGGTCCCAGGCCCTGCAGCCGAGGCCAGCTGCATGGGCATAGAGCTATGCCCCACGTTTAGGTTTAACGCTCTGCTGTCACCGTCTAGAAGTTCTTAGTAAGCGTTGAACAAAGGGTCCCGTGTTTTGTTTTGCACTGGGCCTCATGAATTCTGTAGCCGCTGCCTGCAGCTCTCCTCGTGGCTGGCACTTTGGGGGCCTCTGGACTTTCCACATCCATGGGAAACATGCCCTTAGGCCCCAGTCAGGAGCTCTGCCCGAAGAGTGCCCCGAGGTGGGTCCCAGGCTCTTGCTGCCCCTCTCCTGGATCCCTGGGGAGGAAGAGAGCAGAGGGGGTCCGACCCCATGACTCTAGGGCTCATCAGTCATCGGCAAGAGTAAGTGTCAGGTCCCGCCAAGTCTCCCTTGCAGGCTGGGAAAGACGGTGCTGACGGCGGCAGATGTCCTGGAGCCCCTCGGGGAATCTGCAGGATGCCTGGCCTGCGGGGGTTCAGAGGGTGCTGAGCGGCCGCCACCTGGCCTCAGCCTCCGCGGCAGTCCCCTTGTCCACGGGTAAGGAAGAGGCTGTCCACGGCGGCAGGAACATCTATTAAGTTCCTATTTCTGTCCAACTGCCAGGGGTCTGCGCCCTTGGTGCCGGGGCTGGGCGGCCTGCACTGGGTCTCAGGTCTCCTTCCTCCCAGATGATCCGACCAGGCTGAGACGTCTCATCGCCAAGGCTCAGCGGCTGGGGGCAGGCACTAGCCCGGGACGGCAGGGCAGGAGAGCAGGGCTGTCATTAGATAGCCCTTGTCCCCAGCCTCCACCCCTGCCCTGGCACCTGAGACCTCTTTGACTCCGGACAGGGCTTTTTGTTGTATAATCAAATAATTCACTTGGGGAAGTAATCTGGTGGGGAAATTTTGCATTAGGGGTGGATGACTGCTACAAGAAGGCCATATCATATAATTACATAAATATGATAAAGTATAACATAAGGCCACATACAGAAGGTTGGGCCACGAAGAAGAGGGCCGGGCCCTGAAACCATGCCAGGCTGCCCCAGTTGACCAGCAGCTGCTCTGAACCCCTTCCTGCCACTCCTCAGCCAGGTGTCCCTTCCCCCAAGCTGTCAGGGCCACCAAAATATCCTCACCACATTGGGAATTCTTCCGTGGGGACAGCTACTGCCCTTGATTTTCAAGGAGAGGAGGCCGGAAGAGGAGGGCATAGTGGAAATGCTCACGCTGCCCTGAGCATGTGGAACACTCAGGGGCACAGCGCCTGGGCCAGGGGTAATCCCTGGGCTTGTTTCTTTGATGGTAGAGAGGACTCTACCTCAGGGACGAGTGTCAGGAGTAATGGGCTGGACACAAGAAGCCCCCGGAGCAGAGCTTGACCACTGCAAGACCCTGTGCCTCTTAGTCATCATGCCCGCTGGTCAGCCACTGCCAGGCCCGGGAGAAAAGGCTGGCTTACACCGTCATCTCACTGAATCCTCGCCTGAGCCATGCCCAGTTGGGGGCAGAGGCAGGTGTGGGACTTGAGCTCAGCCCTACCTACCTCCAGACGTACCCTCGCAGCAGCCATAGGTGTTTCCCAACTACAGGAGCAGACAGATGGCCTGGCGGCTGCACGTGACCCTGGGGCCAGTGGGTGGCACGTGCCCTTCTGGAAGCTTGTCTGACACGCCAGCCGCTGTTTAATATTTACTGAGTCCTCCCAGAGCTGGTGAAACATCCGCCCCCGGAGGTTGCTCCCTGCCCTGGCAGTTGTGACACTGGGCCAGACATGCAGCCTGACCCGGCCATCCGGAGGTTGCACGCACAGTCGCCTTGCCTAGCTGGGACGTGGCCACCCGAGTGGCCGCCACGCCTGCCCTGTGGAACCTCGGGCAAGAGTTCTGGGCTCTGAGCTTCCCCAGGAGCCAGTGCTTCCAGGCGCAGCCACAGCAGCAAGGGCGAGGCAGTCTGCAGGCAGATGGAAGAGGGACCTGGCCGGGGGCACACACCCTCCAGGGACTGTGGCACCCTGGAAGCTGGCAGGTGAGCAGGGCTCCTGCAGCCCCACCTTGAAGCTGCTTGCCCACCCCCCTGCCTGCCTGCTGGGCTGCCAGGGACCATAGCCTGCCCGAAACCCACTTCTCTCAAGGCTGCAGCCCTGCCCATCTCTGCCAGCCTGGAAATGGCAACTTTGTGGAGGGCCTGTTCCAAGAGGTGGGTGATGTGGCTTCGGGGGGATGAGGGAGGAGGGGGTACAGCCCCTTCTTGGGTCTTGGAAAGTGTCACTGGCATATGACAGCAGAAGGTACAGGAATGAGCAAGTCCATGTACCAGGCTTTGTGTCCAGTGCCCTGGGCACGTTGCCTTTGCTCAAACATCCCCTTATTGGGGGAGCCTCCCCTGCTCATCCTGTTTAAATGTATCTACCCAACCTTTATTTTTTTCCTTCGCACTAGGCACTATCTGATATATGATTTTCATTATCTTATATATAGCAGTTACTCCTTGCTGGGCACTGTTTGAAGCCCTTTACATTTATTAACTCACATAATGCTCATAGCAATCCTTTCTCTGGACCCACTTCACAGATGAGAAAACTGAGGCACAGAGAAGTTCCCTAATTTCCCCAGTTCACACAGCTTGTAAGTGGAGGAGCTGGGTAGAGACCCCAGTATGTGGCTCTGGAGCCTGCCCTTGTTACCACTTCCTGTGGTCTCCCCAGCTGGCATGGCTGCTCACAGGGGCACAGGTTCTGTCTGTTTTGATCACTGCTCTGCCCCCAGCTCCTAGCATGGTGTCTTGCACACAGTAGGTGCTCAGTAAGTATTTGTTGAGTGAATAACTATCTCATGACAACTCCGTGGGGTAGGCACTCTTACTATCCCCCTTTAACAGATGAAGAAACAGAGGGTCCAGTTGGTTATGGACCAGTGGCGTCTGGGGCTGGTATTTGCACATGGGCTGCTGACCAGGAGCTTGTGAGCCACGGGAGGGCCTGGGCCCCCAGCTTGGCGAGGCTCCTGAGGGTCCAGGGTGGGGCTCCGCATCCTTCCTTGCGGCAGTGTCCTCTGGGACCCAGTTCTCAGCGTGCTGAGGGCCGGTGTGCTGGTTTGTGGTGTGGCTGGGCAGCCACGGTGTGGAACCGCGGGGCTTGGGGCTTGGCGCCCGTCAGCGGGGTGGCTGGGACAGCTCCTCTCAGTTGAGTCAACAGCAGGTGTCTGCGTGTGTGTGTGTGGAATGTGTGGCGTCTGGCCGGGCTGGAAATACAGCCTGGCCTCCTGCTGAGTCTCTTGGGGACCAGGGCGTGGTGCTGGCCCAGGCCCAGTGGCCCTTCTCTCAGGCCTGGCAAAGGAGCTGGAGCTGCGGCCTGCTTGCCCACTGCCTGGCACCCCAGGCCTCAGTCTGCCCCTCTCCCTGTGGACTCTGAGCCCTCGAGGGTGGGACTTCGGCCCCTTGGCCCCCATCAGGTTGTCTGACTCACAGCAAGTCCCACTCTGTGAGTGTCTGAGTGAACAGGTCCTGTGCCCGTGATTCTAGACCTCAGAAGTGCAGCAGATGCCAAAGGGCTCCCAGGGACACGTGGGGCTGGGTGTCCGGCAGGTGGAGGTCCTCTGAGCGGAGCAGAAGTGGTGCAATCCCTGAGACAGGGGCCACACACCTGCTGAACCTGACATTCTGATAGGGGAGGGGCCTAGCAGTCTGAGTCTAGCGGGCCCTCCAGATGATTCCGAGGCTGCTGGGACCTTCCTGCCCCTGCTCCCAGCTGGGCGGTTAAGGTCCTTGGCTGAGGCTCCGCCTACGCTTGGGTTTGGGTCCCAGCTCTGTCACCTACATGATCTGTAGCAAGTCCTCTATCTGAGCCACAGTTTCCCTACCTTTCAGTGGATTTAAAAATAACACCTGCCTCCTAGGGTGGTTGTGAAAGTCGATATGTATATAAAGCCCCAGCAAGTGCCGGGCAGCCACAGACATCAGCACGTGGCTTCTCCTGACGTGCTCTCATTAAGCTCCCCCAGGGCCCTTGAGCTGCGGTGTTGGCAGACCCAGCCACCCAATAGCAGTGGCCTGAGTTTAGCTTCTCTGTTCTGTGGAGATGTTAGTTGTCACCGTCAGGTCTCTGAAGTTGGATTTTCCCGGGAAGCTGGCTCTCTCCTCCTGCACCCCTCCTGGGTTCCTGCAGGCAGGAAGGACCCCACATCCAGCCTCCCCAGGAGCCTCACCTCTGCTGCAGTCAAGCCTTGCTCCTTGCTGCCCACCCACCTCCATCACACACAACTGTACAAGTTCCTCCTCTCCGGCCATGATCACTCTGTCTGCTGCTTTGGAACAGCTGTCTTGGGGTGACCGTTTGTCTTCTTCCTTTGAGGTCCAGCTTTGCACTGGGGTCCCAGCACCTGTCTGTCTTCCAGTCCCCTTGGCACGCTCCTATTGTTCATGCTGTGTATGCAGGGAAAGATACAGATGGATGTGATTATTATAACAATAGTGAACACCTCTGGAGTGTCTCCCAACCTGCCTTTACACATATGGTTTGGAAAAATGTGGCCTGAAAAATCACCGTGCATGCATGCATGCACATACGCACACACAAAAGAAAATTGAGGTGCTATTAACAGAGGGAAGGGGATGGATGTTGGGCAGGCAAAGCCAACAGGTATCCAACCCCACACCTGATTTGGATACATCACAGGACTACGATTTGGCCTCCCATGTGGCCTTGTCTGCACAGGCAAAGCATGCTGATCAGAGAGCACTGGCACTTGGGCTGCTTGATTATATTACTGTGTTAATTTCTCATATGAGGTCATCATCATTGTTTTCATTATTTTCATCCTCAGGTCCAAGCCCTCATTTCACAGATGAGGAAACTGATGCCAGAGAGTCTTGGCAACTTTCCTGAGACCACACAGTTTGGTGGAGAGGGGGTGGGACTGAGCCAGGTCTCTGGACTACCTGGGATTCTGGCCAATGTTTCCAAAGTGCTGGCCCTTGGAAAGGGCTTTGTTAAGACCCTTGCTCTGATCTCCCCCAATCCTTTCTCACAGAAAGTGCATCCACAGGAACTCAGTGAGGTCTCGGATACCTGCAAAGTCCTCCAAGATGTATGGCACACTGCGGAAGGGGTCTGTCTGCCTGGATCCCAAGCCACAGCAAGTGAAGAAAATCTTTGAAGCTCTGAAGAGAGGCCTCAAGTAAGGAGGAGCTGTTGGTTTCCTTTACGCAGTATATTCCTTGGCCTGCTTGCTCCTCTCTGCCTTGTCCCGAGGAACACGGGTGGGTCTTGGTCCACAAAGGGAGCTTCTGGTTATTCGTCTGGTCAACAGGGATGTCCTGGGCACAGCCACACACTCAGCCCCACCCTCCGGGGACACAGTGAATATGGTGGAGCTTACCGTGTGAGGGAGGTGACAACAATAAAGGAGTAACATGTCACGGACATACCTGTCATCACAGAAGCAGGTTACAGATCACACTGAGCCCTGAGTGCAGTGGAGAAAGCGACAGAGAGGCAGCGGGTGGAAGGTGGTCAGACAGCGTGGTCTGGGGACACTCACTGAGAAGGTCCTCATGGGCTCTGAGACCTGAGTGTTCTGGGAAGTTGCTGTCCTGCTGGCCCCTGGGAAGCAAGCATCCCAGGCAGAGGGCAGAGCACAGGCAAAGGCCCTGAGGTGGGGCATACACCCAGCAGGTCAGGGTGGCCGAGTGTGAGTGGAAGGGAGATTAACCCATCAGCTGGGCAGAAACCAGAACACGCGGTTCAGCCGCTCTCTCTGCATCTGTTTATGGAGGGCTTATGAAATGCCCGGTGCAGAGTACAGCAGTGAAAAGAACACGAAAAGCCCTGTTGCTGTGGAGCTGGTCGGGGATAGACAGACAATAAACAATAACAGACAAGTGAAATAGAGAGTGTGTCAGCTGGTACTAAGTGTTATGGAGGAACCCAAATCAGAGTAAGAAGGCATGTGGTGACCTTAAATATGGTATTCAAGGAAGGTCTCATTAAGACAAGATTAGAGCAAAAACCTGAAGGGGTGCAGGAGTGATTCCAGCAGATAGTGGGAGAAAAACGTTCCAGGCCAGAGCCACACATGCAAAGGCCCTGGGACAGGAGCAAGGTGGGTGCATTAGGGACACGGTGAGGAGGCCAGCATGGGAGCTGAGGAAGGGAGGGAGTAGAAGGGGGTGAGGTTGGGGCCCTGCGGGCCACGGCGAGGACTTCGGGTTCAGTCTGGGGTGAGCCCAGAGCCATGGAGGCTTCTGAGTGGAGGTAGGACCTCCCCACTCTGTTTCTTCTCCAGCCCCTCTTCCTTACCCTCCTCACAGGGAGTGCCTGTGCGTCCAGCAGGCAGAGCTGGATTACCTGTCAGGACGCCACAAGGACACCCGCAGAAGTTCCAGGCTGGTGAGACCTCTCCCCACCTCTTCCCGCCTAAGCAGCCCGGGCAGGGTTCTCAGAGGGACCCTCCCTCACCCCCTGCCTGCCTCGCGGGTGTGAAGCTCAGTGCTGGAACTCGGAGGCCTAAGGCATGGACCGTCCTTTTTGACGGATTAACATCACAGGCTGGTGGGGGGCTTCCGCCCATCACCCCATGGCAAGACCCCACCCCCAGGCCCCAGACCTTCCCAGCACCTACGCACCCGTCACGTGGGTGCAGCAATTCTCACCTCCCCGCCCCTCTGGACCCTAGAAGTAACTCTAAGGTAAGCGAGTGTATGAAGGTTGATGTATTTTAGCTGCTCCCACCTCACAGATGGGCATACCGAGGCCAGGGAGGTGCAGTGACCGCACTGGAGCCACGTGACAGGATGGCGGACGCAGGGTCATGCGTGCCTGGACATTGCTGGTTCTTAGTTTCTGAGATGTTGCTTCACCGTTATTTTTCTTTCTGGAGGCTTGGGCACTTTCCTATTCCTTTACTTTTTACATGGAGTTGTAATCTCGTGATCCCACATACGCAATTTCACATAAATGCATCTGTGGGAACACAGATTTTTGGGGGCTTAATCCAGTTTTCCTTTTTGTTTGACACATGTACCCCCGATCTTCTCTCCCCCACCCTGTTGAACCCTTGGGGACCACCTGGTATTTGTCTGTCTGTTTTTCTCCCCAGTCATACAGTCAGGTACACATACATGCACAGGACAGAGGGTCAGTCAGTAGTTGTCTTTTAAAATGCAATCACAAAAAAATGAATCTCCCACCTTGTGGAAATTCCTCCAGGTTCAGAGACGGTTATTCTAACCTACATGGGAAAACTAGAGTAGAATTTGGAAGTGAACTCATCCCCATGGCCAGAGCTATGTCTACATAGTGCTTGTGGCGGCTTTCACACTGAGACCGTGTGGCCACAAAGTTTAAAATATTACTCTGGTCCTTTATACGATATATTCTTTTCATTAGCTGCACCTGCCCCTGGCATGGATGGGCCGGTCTGAATTTGCCATTTCCTAAGGCCTGAACCAGGAGGTGCCAGCTGCCTCTCCCCACTCTCAATTGGTTGTGGCTGAAGTCACCCCTTAAACAATCAAATCCCAATGGTCCCCGTTTTGTTGAGTACCTACTGTGTCCTTTACTCTTCATGCAATCATATGGGGTAGGTGCTATGGCTGCCCCATTTTACATGAGGAAATGGAGGCTCAGAGAGGTTGAGTAACTTGCTTGGTACACACAGCTGGGAAATAGAGCCAGGCCTAGAACTGGAGCACGTGTAACTGGTCACTCTTCCTGCTCAGCCTGGGCCCTGGCCAGCTGACTGCAGGCCTCGGAGGATGGAGGGGCTGCTAGCTTTCTGTCCTCTGAGCTCAGGCACCCCTGGGGTATACCAAATGGGTCTTGGAGACGTGCCCAAGCCCTGATACCTCTCCCCTGTGCCTTCCCCCTACAGGCCTTCTATTATGACCTGGACAAGGTAAGTGAAACTTCCTGGGTCTACATGAGGTAAGCCAGTCGGGCAGTGGCTGGGCCTGGCTGGATGAGGGGGATGTCTTTGCTTGCATCCCACCCTCCTCGTCATCCTATAGAGGAATACCCGGGTTCTCTTCCCGTTTTACAAGTGGGGAAACTGAGGTTTAGCGATGAGCCTCCCTCAAGGATGGTGAGGGGCTGGCTGGCTTGGAGCCCAGTTTTCTGTGTTAGGACCTGGAGGAGGGTGGCAGGGGCTGTAAGTGGCCCAGGCTACTTTTAAAGCATCTTCTCTTTTTCTGGGATTAGCAAACGCGCTCTGTGGAAAGGCACATTCGGAAGATGGAATTTCACATCAGCAAGGTCAGCCTGGTTTCTGGGGTGTCACGGTGGAGTTGGGGCCATCTCCGGGCTTACTGGCCTCTGCTGGGTTAGCAGGGAAAGGTTCTCTGAATGCTAGGTGGCTGCAGAAAGCCGAGGAGGAGCAGGCGTGCAGGAGCTCAGCCCCGAGGTGGGCTGGGGGCTGGGCTCCTCCAGGACCGTACGGTTTAGACAGGAAGATCTCATCTCAGTCTGAGAGATAGCTGGGAAGGTTGTCCACCAACCCCATTGCAGAGCTGGGGAGTAAAGGTCCAGAGAGGGACCGGGATGGGCCCAGGGTCACACAGCAAGTCCTTGAAGCTTCATAATGGGCAGGCTCCCACTTTACCTCAGGTTCCACTTGCCCCCAGGAGTCTAGCAGGAGGCAGGATATCACAAACCCACCTCCCCTGTTTTAAAAATGGCCAAAAAATGGGGTAGGGCGAGGGGAAGTCATGCATTCAGCTGTACAGTTCACTGGCTTTCACTGAGGGCCCAGGCGCCCAGCTGCTGCCAGGTGCTGGGGATGCGGAGTGGATGGGAGTGTGCGCCCCTGCTCCCGGGGGCTCTCGTTCTGCAGGGGCGGGGAGTAGGGCTGTGAGGGTGACAGTGTGCTGTGACTCCGCCAGGGGCTGCGGTGGGGACGTTAGCCCAGGGGTGGCCTCTCAGAGGGTGAGAGACAGGCAGATCTGGGGCCCTGGTCCTGGTGCGGGCAGTGCCCACCAGCCTGTGCGCCCCGGTAGGTGGACGAACTCTATGAGAGCTACTGCATCCAGTGCCGCCTGCGGGAGGGCGCCTCCAACATGCAGCGAGCCTTCTCCAGGTGCCCGCCAAGCCGCGCCTCCCGAGAGAGCCTGCAGGAGCTGGGCCGCAGCCTGCAGGAGTGCACCGAGGTGGGCCAGCAGTGGGGTGGGGGGCAGCGAGGGCCAGGCCGTCCTTGGGGCTCCCCAGGCCTGAGCAAGCATCTCCCTGCCCTGGGTCTCTGTCTGGTGGGGCCTGTGCATGCCCAACCCCCGCCCCTCTCCGTAGCCTGGCGCAGGGCTGGGCAGTGAGCGACCTTGTGTGGGGCTTTGCAGGATATGTGGCTCATCGAGGGAGCCCTGGAGGTTCACCTGGGCGAGTTCCAAGTGAGGATGAAAGGTAACAGGGTCAGTTTGGGTGTCAGGCCTTCTCGGGAACTTCAGCTGAGTGTGGGGGGTTGGCCAGAATTCCAGCGCTCCAGACCCAGCCCTGGGTCTCCATGCATGTGACATGTGACCTCAGGCAAGTGCCATCCCCTCTCTGCGATGGGTGTGAAGATCAGGTCTGTCCATTGTCCGTCATGGCAGCTTATCTCCCCCTGAAGCTGATGCCCACACTCAGGCTGGAGCTCCCCTGGTGAAGGCCTGTGACCCACGGGGCAGGGGCAGGAGAGGGTGGAGAGGACATTAGCCCATCTCTGTGTTCCAGGCTTGGTGGGCTACGCACGCCTCTGTCCAGGAGACCAGTACGAGGTATGGCCGCCTCCAGGGTCAGTCCTCAGGGCCCCCCACCAGGCCTTCGGGAGTTGGGAGCTACTGGGAACCAGGGTCCCAGCTGGGTGTCTGTCCCTCTCCCCAACAGCAGGGAGGGACCCCAGGCAGGTGGTAAGTGGGGGGCACCTACCTGGGGCAGCCGAGCCATCCCTCTTTGGGTCTTGCCCACAGGTGCTCATGCGCCTGGGCCGCCAGCGCTGGAAGCTTAAGGGCCGGATTGAGTCAGACGACAGCCAGACCTGGGAGGAGGAGGAGAAGGCCTTCATCCCCACCCTGCATGACAACTTTGAGATTAAGGTGGGTGGAGCCAGGGACGAGGCCAGGGGACCCAGGGGCTCAGCTCAGACACCACCCACAACTCCCACCCACGCAGGTGACTGAGCTGCGTGGCCTGGGCTCACTGGCAGTGGGCACAGTGACGTGTGACATCACCGAGTTCTTCACCGCCAGGCCTCAGGTCATCGTGGTGGACATCACAGAGCTGGGGACCATCAAGCTACAGCTGGAGGTGCTGTGGAAGTGAGTAGGGACCAGCCGCCTCCGGGGTCCCGGCTGCCCCTCCACAGGGCCAGGCCAGAGGGGCGCCCCCCACCCCATCCAGAGCAGAAAGATGTGGGGGCCTCCCTTGCTCCCCCTAGTGGTCCGAATGTGCCCTAGCAGCCACCGGTGGGCAGCCCTGCCCTGGCTGACTCTACAGACAGGCGGGGGGGCCAGGCCTTCCCTGTCCACCCCCACCCACCCCTCATCCCTCTGAGCTTTAATTCCCTTCTCCCTTTTGAATGAGTTGCAGTTAAAAACCTGGGCTACGCCGGATCCTTCCCTGCAGCTGGGATCCTTGGAAGAGTCCTGGAGGGCTCTCCTTACTCCCAACCACCACATTCCTTGCTGACCCCTGCCATCCGCCAGGCACAAGGCTGAGCAGTCACCGTGACTCCCCCTGGGCCACAGACCCGGGATGGGACACTCATGAGAACGTCCTTGCCTGGGGGAGGGGCTCTCTGTCGTGCAGCTCAGTGAACACTGGTGGTTTCCAGAGGGCTTGTTTTTTTGGCAGGAGAGCTCTTTTTCCCAAATGAAACCTTGGGTTTCAAGGGAATTCCCTTCTCTTTATTCCCCAGGGCAGGTATGGTAGGAGCAAAGGGCTGAGACATGCTTCCTTTGCTCTGGTGCTTGCTCTCACCCGTTGGGGCTGGTCTTTCCTTTCTCCCTGGGGTGGGCACCCACGCCTGGGGTCACTAGGGCTGCTGCTGTCTCCCTGGTGAGCTGGGTGGATTGGGGTGAGTAACTGCCCCCAGTCTCAGTGTCCTCATCTGTCTAGCAGGGCTGAGCCCACCTCTCTCCCAGGCGTCAAGGGTCTGGGGCAGAGAGTGGCCCAGTGCCCTCCAACCGGAGGCCAGTCAAATCAAGCGCCCAGGTGTTCTGCTGGCCCACAGCTGCCCCCGGGCAGGCAGGGAAGGCTACTCGAGGGTGCCTAAGAGCCTTACGGTTGGGCTGGGCCCCAGACGCTGGAAGCTTTCATGCAAAGGAGAGTGAGCAGGTTTCCATGGGGCAGGGAGCATGTACCCAGCCTACCTGCTCCAAGGGCAGGCTTGGCATCACTACCTGTTCATTCCACATGTTCCCCTTGCTTCCCAGCCTTACCTGTGACTGGAACTGACAGATGTCCTTCTACAAGGTGTCCCTTTTACAGATGAGGACAGAGGGGGCAGTGACGTAGTTTATCCAGCACATGACAGAACTGAGTGTCCATGGCTGGCTTGCTGAACTTCTTGAGGTGGTCTTGAAAGCAGGCTGTCACCCACATGTGTGGTGGCTGATGGCTGCCCCTTGCCATCTGGCTTTGGACCTGCAGGGTGGTGGGACTCTGAGACGTGTCCAAGAGGGGTGAGAATATCCAGACCTAGAGTCCTTAGGCTATGCCTGTGGCCCCAGGAAGACCCTGCCACTCCGGGGCCTCCATTCCCTCTAAGTTCCTTGGGTCCTGTCTGTGCTCGAATGTCCTCCTGGGCATGGATGACACACTGGCTGTCTGTTCTACCCTCCAGCCCATTTGACGCTGACAGCTTCCTGGTGTCACCAAGCCCCATTGGCAAGTTCTCCGTGGGCAGCAGGAGGGGTTCCTTGTACAATTGGACACCCCCAAGCACCCCCAGCTTCCGAGAGAGATACTATCTGGTGAGAGCCCGTTTCAGGCAAGGATGCTGTGGTAACACTGGGTGTGTGTGTGGTGGGGGCAACTCCCCAGGTACCAGCCTGTGGGGCTGGGCTGAGCAACGCCTTCAGAGGAAGCAAGCTTTGGGCCCAGCCTCCCTTGTTTAGGGGTTCTCCTGGGTGTTTTTCAGTATTTTTCTTTCCTGGCTGCTGGCCCCTTCAGTCTGAAGGCCTTGATTCTGAGCTTGGCTAATTCTCCTGAAGGCCTGGAATGGAGTTCTCTGGATGGTTCTATCCCCAGCCATGGTTTTGGTCTCCAACTTATTTGTCTTAAACTTACATTTAGTATATGTTTCCAGTAGCTAATACCTTGGCATATTGTGCCAAAAACATCTCTTTCCCTCGACCTCTGGGATCTGGGTCCCCTCCTCAACGCCACCTACTGCTGTCAGCTCCTTCCATGTTCTCCCAGATACCTGACGCCACCTACCAGCAAGTGCATCTTCTCCATCTTTTATTCCACAGTCTTTTTAACCAAGTGATGCGTTTTGAGGCTGTTCTCTGCTATTCCAAGAGGGCTTCCTCCTCATTTGTTTATACCATGCAGACCAAAATGGGCTTCACTGTACTTCATTCAAAAAGATCTTGAGGCTGTTTTTTGTTGTTGTTATTACCAACAACAGAACAGTAAATAACTGTGTACACACAACACTCTACACGAATGCGAGTATCTCCCCAAAGCAGGTGTCCCAGCTGGGTCCTGGGGTCCCAGGGAGCTTGTCTCCCATTAAGGTTGGGGGGACATTGGCACAAGGAGGTCACTTGCAGGTGGGGAGGCACGGGACTCGTTTCCAATAAGGATCCCAAGAGCAGAGACAAAAACAAGGACATTCTGTTGAGCCTGGAGACAAATCTCCTGTTGCACTTGGAACTTAGATGGGGAGGGTGGCTTTATATGAGCCTGGAAACTTGTACTTTGGAGGAAAATTTCTCGTGTGGCCATGATTGGGGGTGGCCAGCAGACTTTGGTTAAAGAATCGTCCATGGTCAAGAGCATGGACTCTGGAGTCAGACAGCTTGGGTTCAAATTCTGTTTATGTCACCCACCAGCTGTGTGACCTTGGTCAAGTCACTCAACCTCTCTGGATTTTGATTTCTGTGTTAGAGAATGAGAATATCAGCACCACCCTGATAGGGTTTTGTGAGGGTTAAATAAGTTAATAAATGATAAGGGCTCTAAAGAATGCCTGGCAAAAACAGATGGGGCTATAGGAAGGCCAGCCATCCTCAGCCTGGTTGATAAGGGGAGGGGGAAGCAGAAGGGGTAAGGGTTTTAGCACACCTGCATTCAAAGCTTACATTTTGCTGCCCCTCCCCATGTAGCCTGAGGACAAGTAATTGGGTACCTCCCTGACATTAAAACAGTGCCACCCTCATGGAGGTCTGGTGAGGGTAAAGTGAGATATGACTCAAGGCCCTCAGGAAAAGGCACATGAACCCCAAATGCCAATGGCGGCTGCTGCTGTTGCTATGGTAATAAGCGCTCCTTGGGTATTGTATGTCAGGCCTTTACTCACTCACTGAAAAGTCCTTGCCAGGCTCTGCCCTGGGCCGGGTGAGGACTGTGCGGTCAGGAGCACCGCCTGCCCAAGCGGTGTAAGGACCCTGGGGGAATAAACCAGGAAGGGGAGGGGACGGCTTGGGCTAGGTGGGCATTGCTTTTTGAAATGGGATGTCCAGGGAAGGGTCCCCAGAAAAGGTGACATCTGAGTAAGGACCTGAGGGTACCAGGGCTCAAGTCACAAATGGGGAAGAATGTTCTAGGTGGAGAGCACAGTTGGTGCAAAGGCCTTGATGCGGGAATGTGCAAAGGGGCCCGGAGGATGTGAGAGACAGCAAGGAGGCCTGGGGCCAGCAGGGAGTGAGTCCGAGGGTGATGAGTGACCTGGGCAGGGAGGCCCCAGGGTCCTGTCAGCCCCTCTGGGTTGCCCGTCACTTGGGTGGACCTCACTCATGCCAAGAACATGGGTATGTGGAGCAAACATCTACTGGGGTGAGGCCCCTCTGGGGGCCTCGCCAGGGTCCCTGGGGTGGCAGTAAGGCTGATACTGTGCCCTTCTCCAGTCTGTCCTACAGCAGCCAGCACAGCAGGCCTTGATGATGGGCGGGCCGAAGGCCACGTCCATCCTCAGCTACCTGTCCGGCAGTGACCTTCAGGGTCCTGGCCTGTGGAGACAGAGTCAGGAGCTGCCTGAGATGGACTCCTTCAGCTCCGAGGACCCCCGAGACACTGAGACCAGCACATCAGCGTCCACCTCGGATGTGGGGTTCCTGCCCCTGGCCGTTGGCCTCAATGCCTCCATTGAAGAGGAGGCTCAGGAGGAACCCCCAGCCCTGGGCCTCCTGCCAGAGATGGCCCACCTGGCTGGAGGCCCGTTTGTTGAGCAGCCTGGATGGAGGCATTTGGGAGTAGAGAGCCCCAAGCCGGCCCAGGGCTCCCTATTCCACAACCACACAATCCTGGGCCACGACGAGGGAGAAACAGGGCACAGAGTGGACGAGCCTGGGGTGACCCTCGAGAGGCCCCTCCAGGAGGTCCTGGATTTACTGAGGTCTGTGGATCCCAGCCAGCCCCAGCTCCGGGAGCTGGAGTACCAGGTCCTCAGCTTCAGGGAGCGGCTGGAGGTATGTTTACTCTTCGCTGGGCAGCAGCCCTGCTCTGCCAATGGCAGGACGAAGGGACTTGGCTTTGGGGGCGCCCAGCCTGGGCTGACATCCTAGCCTCAACCCTGTGTGGCCCAGGTGGACAATGTCACCTCTCTGGACCAAAGTTTGCTCCTCTGTCAAGTGTGGTAGCAACTGTTCCTTATCGAGCTGGGAGAGGATTATAAGGGAAGTTGGGGCTCAGAGTAGATAACCTGCCCAACATCCAGCCAGAACATCTTGCATCTTCTGAGCAGGGCAGGAGGGGCTGTGGCCTGGTGTTAAATTCCCAAACTTGGGGCTTTCTCCGGGTCAGAGCTGGTGTCCTTAAACAGCAACACACATAAAACAATGTTCTGAATCGATGTGCTGATGAAAATGGGACCAGAGGCCCGGTCGGAGGCGCTGCACTTTCCCGAGGAGTGTTCAGTGCGCCTCGAATGGGGAATGGGAACTGACTGCAGGGCGTCCGAGCGTGTGCACATACACATGCTCACGTATTTCTTTGCTATCAGGCAAGGAAATCTCTGCCACTAGCCTCATTCTCTTGTTGCCCGAGGCCCGTCTTCGGGCTCCACTCTGAGGAGCCAAGCTCTGGCTGGCGGCAGCCATCGCTCAGTCTCTGTCCTGAGAGCACTTTGCGTGGGACCAAGTCCTGGGCGAGCAATGCAGTATAGGCCCTGGAGTCCTGCCCTGGGTGAGGACGTGGCGACAATCTCCAGCTGGATTCCTAGGTGCCGAGGAGGGGCCCTGCCATTGGGAGACAGGAGCAGTGGCCCCAGTGCCCTCTCCCCTGCCAGGCGGGGACTGCCTCCGGTCTCCGTTCCTCCCATGTTTCCGCGGGGCAAGAGACACCTGGAATACAGAGGCTCCCCTGGCAGCCTTTGAGCCTCCCGAGGAGGCATATGGCCTCACCCACACTGTATTTTTAGTATAATTTGGAATTAGTTTCAATATTTAAAAACTGGCAGCTTCCCGCAAAAATCTAAGTTTCCAGCTTTTCCTAGAAAATTGAATGAGTGGCTTCACATTCCCAAGCGGCAGGTGTCAGCTGGAGCAGCAGCGCGCTCTCTGGGGAAGGACCTGAGCTCTGCTTTCCATGGCCCTCACCTGGCCCACTCACTCACTCCTGTCTCTTGCCGTGTCCCGTGGGGGTTTGTGACCCTGGTGAAGCTTTTCAGATTTATCTCCTTCGTGCTTTCGCACCCCACCTGGCCACATTGGGGAGGGACCTCAGCAAGTGGGCTGTGTGAGGGGGGCGGGCACCACCCTCAGGCCTGGCCTCCATTCACAGCCCCAGGGAGCCTGCCCAGAGCATGCCTCTGCCGAGAGCCTGATGGAATGCATCCTGGAGAGCTTTGCCTTCCTCAATGCTGACTTCGCCCCGCAGGAGCTGCCCCTGTTTGGGGGTCCCCAGGACCCCAGGTGAGTGCACCCCTTCTGGGTGCTGACCCCAGCGACCGGCTTTAGCTCCATGCTTCCTGTCAGTCTCCTGGCCTGCATCTCTCACTGCCTTGGGCCTGGTCTGTACTTATTTTGATGCTCTGTTGTGTCCCCTGCACCCCTGTCCTCGCATGCCTACTGCCTGGCATCCAGCAGGTCCTTAGTGACCACTGAGTGAAAGACAGAACTACGGTGTGGCCCTGAGCTTTCTGCTCCAAACAATTGGCTTTTTTTAATCTTAAGAGAGAACAATAGAGTCCACAGTAGAACTTCTGACCTCTACCAACGCGATGCGCAGCAGCGACATGTTCCTTACTCTCTTGGCCCAACCAGCCTCCCTCACCTCCCACACCAACTTTCGTCTCAGTCAAACAGCCTCACCTGCTCGCTCGTGCCCATCATGAGCACTTACGTACCCAAATCTCAGCAGCACAGAAGAGCACAAGCAGTCTAAATTTCTCCTCTCTTCATCCCATGGGGGGGACACCGCCCTTCAGCCCTTCCTTAGGCCTCTGGTTCTGCCTCTACCAAGAAGCCAACATGGTGCAAGGCACATGTGCCAGCAGTGTTTCACTTACCCCTCACTGCCCTGAACTTGGAATTCTGGTGACCACTTTACAGATGTGTAAACTGAGGCCAGGGAAGGCAGACTGGTCCAGAGTCACCAAGCTAGAGATTAGTTTGAACCACAGGTTTCTGACTTCAAATTGCATGCCCTGGAAGGTGCCCCCACCTCCCCAGGCTCTGGCCCCACCTCCCCCGTCTCTGGGGCCCCCACCTCCCCTGGCTCAGGGCCCACCTCCCTGGGATCTGGGGCCCCACCTCCCTGGGCTCTGGCCCCACCTCCCTGGGCTCTGGCCCCACCTCCCCGGGCTCAGGGCCCACCTCCCCAGGGATCTGGGGCCCCACCTCCCTGGGCTCTGGCCCCACCTCCCGGGGCTCAGGGCCCACCTCCCCAGGGATCTGGGGCCCCACCTCCCTGGGCTCTGGCCCCACCTCCCGGGTCTCTGGGGCCCCACCTCCCTGGGCTCTGGCCCCACCTCCCGGGGCTCAGGGCCCACCTCCCCAGGGATCTGGGGCCCCACCTCCCTGGGCTCTGGCCCCACCTCCCGGGTCTCTGGGGCCCCACCTCCCTGGGCTCTGGCCCCACCTCCCGGGGCTCAGGGCCCACCTCCCCAGGGATCTGGGGCCCCACCTCCCTGGGCTCTGGGCCCACCTCCCGGGTCTCCGGGGCCCCACCTCCCTGGGCTCTGGCCCCACCTCCCCGGGCTCAGGGCCCACCTCCCCGGTCTCCGGGGCCCCACCTCCCTGGGCTCTGGCCCCACCTCCTCAGGATCTGGGGCCCCACCTCCCTGGGCTCTGGCCCCACCTCCCGGGGCTCAGGGCCCACCTCCCCAGGGATCTGGGGCCCCACCTCCCTGGGCTCTAAGGCCCCACCTCCCGGGGCTCTGGGGCCCCACCTCCCTGGGCTCTGGCCCCACCTCCCGGGGCTCAGGGCCCACCTCCCCAGGGATCTGGGGCCCCACCTCCCTGGGCTCTGGCCCCACCTCCCGGGTCTCTGGGGCCCCACCTCCCTGGGCTCTAAGGCCCTCACCTCCCCGGGCTCTGGGCCCCCACCATCCCAGCACCTGTTCAGAGTTGTTGCTACCTTTTGCTGCTTTTCTTTTCCTCCCTGTTTTCCTCAGTTGAACTCCATCTCCTTGCGCCCTGGAGTTGGCCTCCCTGATCAGAGCTCTCCAGGGAGGGAGGGTTTCTTCCGTTCTTGGAGGAGCTGAGTGGCTCATCAGAATGGTCACCCCATTTTTCTCAATCTAACACAGAAAGGGCAGGCCCCCGCCCCCACCACCATCACTGGAAGCATCTAGAATGCTCACGGCTGGTGCCCCAGAGCTGGATGTGCTGCTCATGGTCCACCTCCAAGTCTGCAAGGCCCTGCTGCAGGTGGCTGAGGGAGTGGTGGGAGGGTGGGGGCGGGGGGCACTTGCTGGGAGGCTGGACTGGGAGCTGGGAGTCCTCTTTGCCAAGAGCTGGTCTTGAAGGTGGTGGGAGCATGGTACAGGGGTGAGAGACCCACACCCCAAGAAGCAATGAGATGGAGTTTCCTCTGGAATAGTGAATGGTCATGTGGCTGTTGTGCAGCCCGAGCCCTGAACCAAAGGTGGCAGATGCCAGAACTCCAATCCAAACTGGCTCAACCAAATGGAAATTTTTGGCTCAGAAAAATGAAAGGCCCAGAGGTAGGCTTCAGGCCCAGCTAGATCCAAGGTTTCAAGTGTCGTGGCAACTGAGTGTCTCTCAGCTTTGCTTCTCCGTGTTGGTTGGCCTCCCGCTCAGGCAGGCTGGCCCCTTCCTGCCCCTGGCAGCCCCAGCTTGCATCCTATCTCCTCACCAGCCTTGGTGAAGCAAGAATCCCCACATGACAATCAGGGAGCCACCGTCAGGACCAAAAGTGTGGGCATGGGGCAGGTGGGAGTCACGTCATGATGGCCAAACTCAGAGGGCATGTTCTGTGCTAACCTGGAGCATCATGGCTGCTTCTCAGAAACTGGCCTCTCCTAATTTGTCACGGATGGTCCAGGAATGTCTTCTGGAAGAAGCTGTGCAGCAAAAACAGGTGCTGGAGACTCTTTTGGCACTTGACTTTGAGAAGGTCAGCAAGGCAACCTCCATTGATGAAGGTAAGTGACCACCTGCCACCCACGGGCTGCTCTTGTGAATTGCATGAAGTGATGGGCTTTAAAGCTCTTGCACCCCCTTCCTCACACCCAAGGGACCCGGAGGCCAGGGCTGGGAGTGGTGGCAACGGCTGGGCTGGACAATACTGTCGGGGTGAAGGGAGGTCACAGAGCCTTGGAGTTGGCAGCATGCACTCTCCAGTCAGTTGAGTGGCCCTAGATAAAGGATTCACCTCTCTGGGCCTCAGCTTCCCCTTCGGGCCACTGGGTAGGGGTCGGTGAAGGAATCCTCAGGACTCATTCAAGGGACACAGCATGTGCTCAAACAAACCCCAGTTCTGCCTCAGCCCCCGGGGGGCCTCCCTGCCCACAGAAGGACTGGAGACAGTAGCTGCCCCAGGGTGCTTGTGAGGACTGTGGGTGGTGACCCAGGTAGGCACCTACAGAAGCTGCTTGTGCTCTGTGTCACACTGGAATGACAGAAAGGGACACTGCATTAAGCCATGTTGCCCCTCACCCACCAACCTCTCGGGTCTTAGTGGAGGAAACCTCTGGGCCTCCTTGCTGCTGGCTCTTTCCCACCACTGGTCAGGTTTCTGAGCCTGGCCTTTCAGTCATCCCACAGGCTGCGCGGAGGAAGGGGTGCCTGAGGCTGTGGAGAGGGTGCACGGAGCCCGGCGGGGTCCTGGCCTGCCCGGCCACATCGCTCCTGAACCAGCTTAAGAAGACATTCCTGCACAGAGTCAGAGGGAAATACCCAGGACAGCTGGAAACCGGTAGCTCCCCCTCCCTCCCCGACAAGGAAGCTGTGTTGGGTCTCCTGGGGCCTTCCTGTGCTTGCAGCGGGCCTGCTTGGGGCCCTACCTGAACCTATGGTTGTGTCTTCATGGTGTCACATGGAGGTCGGTTCTCAGCTTGACTACAAATCATCTCCTTTTTGGGGAGAGTAAGGAGTTGGAAATGCTGAAACTGTAAAATTAGCCGGTTGGAGCATTTTTCTGGGGACAGTTTCCACAGCTTCTGCCAGAACCTTAACAGGGTTAAGAAAGAACCTTTCTGGGAAGGTAGGCAGGGCTTTATCTGCCTGATAATGATGTCTTGAAATGCTGGCCAGCCTCTTCCCCAGAATGCAGAGCATTTTTTTCTGCTAACAACTTGGAGGGTGACAGGCATACCCCAGGCAGTGGCTCTGGAACTTAAGCAGCTCCAACCACCACCTGGGCTGCTCCTCAGCCTGCATGTCCCCGGGCCCTGGCACAGGAGGCGCAGTGAGGGACACCCACCCACGTCCCACTAGAAGGCCTTTGAACTGACCTGGCCGTGGCCGGCTGGGAAGTTCTGAGGGGTCAAGGTCTGCTTCTCCTCACGCCCTCCCCCATGTCTGCTAGCATGCCGCAGGCTCCTGGAGCAGGTGCTCAGCTGCGGTGGGCTGCTCCCCAGAGCCGGGGTCCCAGAAGAACAGACCATCACCTGGTTCCAGTTTCACAGTTACCTGCAGAGGCAGAGCGTCTCTGACCTGGAGAAGCACTTTGCCCAACTCACCAAGGAAGGTAGGGGCTAGAAGGGCGGCAGGTGGACTCAATGCAAAACAGAAACAAAGGAATATCCATCGGTGGAGTTCTCTGTCCCAGCTCTCGGAAGCCAGGCAGGTTTTCAGAACCACTGTCTTTCCCCTCCAGCTGTTCTTTCAAGAACCCAGATTTAACTGGGTTGTACATTCAACCCATGTAGTGAAATCAGCTCCAAAGAAAAGAGGCTTTACAAAGCACAGAGCAGAGGTCAGAGCTGCTGAGGGTGATGCTCAGCTGCCTGAGCCCTACAGTGTGGACTGGAGTTGGATTGATTCTCAGGGCCTATTTGATCCCTTGCTAGAAAGCCTCCCTAGAGATTCCCGGAGACCCTTTGAAACCAGTCCAGGGCCCTGCTGGTCGCATGGGCTTGCCCCTGGTTTTGCTGCTTCTCCCTGGCTAAGGGCAGTGGCCACACAGACCTGCAGCTATACGGCCCGACTGCAGAGGGACCCTGGGTCTACTTCTCCTGTCTCTTCTAGTCACTCTCATCGAGGAGCTGCGGTGCACGGGGCAGCTCAAGGCGGTCAGGAAGCTGCAGGGGAAGCGGCTGGGCCAGCTTCAGCCCCTGCCCCAGACGTTAACAGCGTGGGCACTGCTGCAGCTGGATGGGACCCCGCGGGTGTGCAGGGCAGCCAGCACTCGACTGGCCGGGGCAGCCAGGAACAAGAGCTTTCGGGAAAAGGTATGGCGTGAGGAGGGAAGGTGTACACCCTGGCTGCAGGTATGTGAGTTCAAGGGAGGTAGGGGGAGGGAAACTTCCTTCCTCAGAAAAATACAAAGGACGGACTGACTGGGGGCTGCATTTGCTGCGCAATGTTTTGCTTTAGGGATGCTCCAAACACGAACACAGCCTTCAAGCCACTGCCAGCAGCAGCACCAGCCCTGGGGAGGGATCTGGGCCGGGCTCAGGCTAGCAGGCCATCACCTAGGAACCCACACATGACAAGCCTACCACTTGTTCCTCCGTGTTTCTAAAGCAGCTTATCTATCTGGTCTCTGAAATGTTACTTGCATGTAGAATGTTTCTTAGAATTCTGATGGTCATCCTCATTTGCTTTCAGTTAATATGTGTGGCCGGCTGTCTCATTCATTGTATTTGGTCCATTTGAAAACTGAGAAACTAGACCTCTCTGTTTTTAGGTTCTGGGCCGGTGATTGTTCTAGATTTAAGGTACCAATCCCTGAGATGGGAGGATGTTCTGGGGCCTTACCATACAGCCTCTTGGGCCCCCCTGAGAACCAGGCACTTCCCAGTGTGCCTCCTAATTAACCCTTACAACAATCTTGTGAAGCAAATGCCAGTTTTCCAGCTTAAGTGACTTTGGTCATGGTCATGTGACTGATGGTGGCAGGGTCGGAGCTGGGCCTGGGACAGGGTGATGCAGAAGAGATGCTTGCCCTCTGGCCTGGGCTGTAGCCTCCTGATTTCAGTCCGTGAGGTCAGCCCCCTCTGTACATTCAATTCACCTGGGGTCCCTGGCTGCACAGCTGATTTCTCTGATCTAGCATTTTCCCTAGATGGCAGTCTCAAAATGCACTTTGGAAACATTACTACACAAAAAAAGCTTTCTTCCTTTGATTACCATTGGCCTAGAGACCAGCATTTTTAGACATAAACTAAACAGTGTATTATCTACAGCTCAAGACTGAGCACACCTGGCTCAAAGATGAACAGATCATGGCCTGATTTTTGTTTAGAAAAAGGTTAAGTCTTGACTTACTGTCAGCATTTGGAGGATTAGCGGTGGGCACCATGGACTTTGCTTTCACTGGCCCCCCATTCACAGCACCCTGATTTCCCAGGCCTTGCTCTTCTACACCAATGCCCTGACCGAGGACGATGCAAAACTCCAGCAAGCTGCGTGCGTGGCGCTAAAACATCTCAGGGTGAGTTTAACCTGTCCTCGCTGGTGATGGAGAGAAGCCTGCTTGTGGGTAATGGTGAAGTTAGTTCATTTCAAAATAATTGTACTGGGACCAAAAAAAGAAAACCGCTAGCAAAAAAGCACCCAAAAAGCTGGTTTTAGACAGATGTCAGCTCCACCAACAGAGACCCCTGGACAAGAGCGTTTGCTCTGATTCAGAGAATAAGCGGGGCCCCCAGGCTCTCACTCTGGATTATGTACTTTAATACCCTCAATTACAATATCCCTAAAAGCACAATAAGCTCATCATAGGAAAAAAGTGAAGATACAGAAATGTATGTCACTTGTCATCCTGACACTTAGCAGAAACTACTGCTGACATCTTGCTATATTTCTATTCAAATGTGTAAGATCTAAAATTTTGAACATATTCAATATAGTTTAAAGACTTAACCAAGTAAGAACTTTCTGTGATACACTGGTAGCACTTCGGCATTCTTTATGAAGGATCCATCAGGTGTATACCTTACACTATCCCTCAATCTCAGACTGTAGAAAATTTAGGTTTGTCATCCATTCTTTCTTATAATGTCATTATGAGCATCTTTGTGAATGCAGCTTTTAAAAAACAGAGTTCTGAATTATTTCCTTGGGCTAGACTCCCTAGCGTTACTCCAGGACCAGAGAATATGGACGTTTTTGAGACTCTCGATCCAACATATCCGCCTATGCTTCCAAAATCTGAAGTGAGACGATGTGCATCCTACCTCAGTCTCTTACCTGCATTTGGAACTCTCATTTTAAAAAATCATCTCGTTTGCTAGATGAATAATAGTCCAATACAGATTAAATTTACTCATCCCATTCATCCCAGAATGAATTGACAGGAAATCCCAGGAGGACCATTTAGTTACAATCAAATAACCAGTATGAGGGGAATGGTGCTCTAGTAACCAGAGAGAGCTGACATGCCCTCTGGCCCTTGGCCCTGGAGGGGACCAGCCAGGGACAGCTGTGCCCAGACCAGGCCCTGACCGTGGAGGGTGGGAGGGTGGGGCGGGAGAGCAGAGAGGAGGTAGGAAGGCCCAGAAGGAAGCAGGTCTCATTTCAAGGCAGGCCTTTCAGAAAAGTGTCCATAAAGCTCTGCCAATAGCTTGGCTTGCTAGCAGGTGTCAGGATGCATATGCTTTCCAATGGTGCTGATGAGCCTAAGGCCATGCAGGGGCCTGGAAGCCTTCCAAAAGGGCTGAGACCCAAGCCCACGCTAGGGCTGGTCCTGCAGGGCTCATACAAGTAGATTCCACCTGCTACTTAAAATGTCCCCTAATGGACCCTTTTCCCAACAACCTCAAACAGGGCATGGAAAGCATCGATCAGATCGCCAGCCTGTGCCAGTCTGACCTGGAGGCCGTACGAGCTGCAGCCCGGGAGGCCACGCTGTCATTCGGTACAGTACAAGATCTAGTATTACAGTGTGTGGGTGGCGGGGCAGGGTGCCAGGGCCCTCAGAAAGGGGTGCTGGAAGCCTCGGCTAGCTCTCAAATGAGACCAGCACACGGGCAGGCAGTTAGTGACCTGCTCACCTGTATTTGGCCAGGGCAGGTTTCCTTTGATGACCTAGGTGGCATTAGTGCCTTATTCCCTTCTTAAACGTTAATTTATGATCCCTGGGAATAAAATTCAGGGGCATGGCAGGCTTAAAGTTCAGCAGACTCTGTCCTGAGTCAGAGTGAGGGTCCAGGTCCACTCGGGTCTGCTAGTCGGCGCTCCCAAATGCTCCCTCCCTCTGCCCTTCACAGCGGCACCCAGGATCCAGGTGTCAGGACTAAGGCCACCATGGCCCCTCCAGAGTAGGTAGCATGGAGGCAGGGGACCATCCAGTGATGGATCACTTTAATGTTTCAGGTGAAAAAGGACACTTAGCTTTTGAGAAGATGAACAAACTTTGCTCAGAGCAAAGAGAAGGTGGCTTTTGCCAGGAGGCAGACGTTGAGATCACAATATTCTGAGAAGCCTCAGCTGCTGAGCTCAAACCTGGCATCTTTGCTTTTGTTGCTGCCCAACCTCTTCACAGGGCCGGGGTTTTGGTGGGGGCACACTGCGTGCTCCCCCAGTCGCTTGAGCTGCCCGGAGCTCCCCGAATCTTCAAACGAGTTACAAAGCTCCAGGCCACCACGGAGGCTGTGTGTAGGAGCCGAAAAAGGTGAAGTCAGCACTTCAGAGGCTTCACAACAGACAACTTCAATCAAATGATCAATTTTTTGGATTTGACAATCTGTCTGACCTTCCTCAGAAAGCAGAGCGGGGTCAATGCCAGGCTGCTGCGCCACAAAGGGCTGGGCCAGGCAGGGTGAGGCCTGGCATAGGAGGCTCCAAGACGAATGTGCTTAGCTGGAGGTCTCCCTGTGGGTTGGCAAGCTTGGCAACTGGGTCCCAAACTGGGATTGAAGTGGCAAGCAGGCCGAGTGACCCTGCTAATAAGGAAATAGGGTGATGGGTCGAATCATTTGAACAGCATCCAGCTGTCACCTTGGCAAGCTGGGGAAGGCAAACGGCCAGGATTTCTATGATTCATTTGTAACCTACACTGCAGCCCAAATGCCAGTGCGGAGCCTGGTGGCGGCCTGCTGACCGTGGGCTTTATTTTCACTGTGTTCAGTAGTACAAGGAAAAGAGAATGCCAATGGTCAAGAAGTTGCAAGTGTCATGGCAGTAAAGGCATGTACTTTTACCTCATTAATCAAAATGGAATCCAACTTTTGAAGTCAACTTAAGGCCTACTAAACAGTTTCAGAAGCCATAAGCTAGTTTGAAAAAAAGACTCACTGAAAAGCATGTTTAAAGAAAGAAAATTAGTTTCCTATTTAAGTCTATTAAAAAAAATGCTGATGTGTCCTCAGCTGTTGTGTTAATAATGTAGAAAACCTAGGGGTTTGAATGAGGCTATCAACAACGGCCTTGAAAACTTTGTAACTTAAACATCCTCATTTAAACTTTCTGTATATATTTTGTGCTTTTTGGTTTAACTTAGTATTTATTTACCTCATTCCTATGTTCAATCTTCTGACATTTTAATTAAAAAATGGTTTTTATTGGTGTTTCACTTTACCTGAAAAAAGCAGAAAGCAGTGGTTGTTTCCCCAAACCTCCTGCAGGGGGAAAAGGCCCCTCTTGTCCCTTAATGCCCTCTCCCTAATGTGGGGCTCAGTGAGGTAGCTTCCCCCACGGAAGCAGGCTGAGGAGGGCCACCCCAGTGGTGTGCCTCTGGATTCTCCACGTTGTGTTTGGAAGGCTCCCCAAGTGTCCACTGCTATACAGATATCAACCGCATGGCCCCTGTCTGGCCTCTGGCCCCATCTGATTTCTGCTCCAAAGTTACAAATTTAGTGGATTTTTTTCCCCACACTGGCATTCTACCTCTTCATGAAAGCTTAGATGCCATTTTTGTATCTGAAACCAAGACTGATGTGACAGTGGGTGTGACAACAACATCCTGATTGCCACGGTCTCTATAAACGTTCCATGGTCACACGAGCACAGCCCGTGCAGCCGCACAGATCCTGCTGGGAGGCCACAGCATCAACAGTTCAGCAGCCAGCAGTGAAACAGTCATAAAACCTTGAAGGGCATAAAGAAATTGTTTATACTAGTTTCACAACATTTTGCCAGTCTGATATTCCAAAACAAAAAAAGTAAAAAGAAAATCACTTTAGGGGTAACTTACACTTAATTTTGTACAAGAAAGGAAGACACATGAATGTTTTATCTCGTTGTTACTTTTATGTCAATCCCACATGCACTGTGGCTATAGAGGTCCTGTGACCTTGTCTTATGGTTTCTAAAGGATTTGTTGAGGCTCGAAAAGTTCTTTGAACAACTTGTTAGGTTTGTTGTGTCATCCAGGGGCCCATCCACGCAGAAGCCAGGTTTTGCTGTTGTCACTGAGGGGATGGGTTGAAGCCTGGGTGTTAAATAAACCTACCAGTGAAGGAAGCTCCCCCTCACAACTCCAGGAGGCTGTTTGACTCTCAGATGTGGAAAACCGGAACCCCACTTGATTGACAACATCTGCTTCACATCAGCAGGGATGGAAAGAAACAGGAATTGCCCATTCTAGTTCAGGCCCATTAAACAAAAAATGGGAAGCACCCCAAATCCATGTTCTTTAGAAAAAAACTTTTATTGTTGCAACTAAAATGCAAACCCATCATTTTTTATATGGCAAGTTGGAAAACTGTACAGTTTGAGAGTTCTGTGAGGTCACAGAAGACCCTGAGACGCTCCCCCCCACCCCATCCCATCATGCTTTCACGTATACACACACCTGAAAAGGTATTATACCAAAACACCTCGCTTTTTTTGTTTGTTTTTATTTTTGTAAAAATGGTTTATTCCACGGCCATTGTAAAAAATAATGACCTGATGAGTAAATATTGGCTTAAGGCATATAGCAGAGCAGCTCGCTGCTTCTCTTAACATACGTGTTAACAGGATGGAGAGCCATCTGCTTTCCAAGGATAGGAGGTTAAACCAGTATATCCACTTTGAAATGCTACTATATATACACACCCAAACTACTACACACATATACAGGACTTCAAAAACAACAAGCCCGACTCAACAATGCTTACAGCCTGGCACCTCAGCCTCACCCACACCTCACCAAGGCTCTGCGGGGCGATGCCTCAAATGTTCCCACCGCAGAATTTCTCTGCACGGGCTTCTAACACGTGAAAGGCAAAATGTGAAAATGCTGGCAAAAGAGCAGCTCGTCAACGACAGCTGCCTTTTTTTCTTATTTAAAAAGCCACTTAATGTGGAGGTCTTAAGTTCCCCTCGCAGGAAGAGTGGTGAGCACCATCGGTTCCCAGGGTTCCAGGGCAGGGGCAGACATGCCTCCCTCAGCAAGGGCCCCTGGGCCCAGACAGCAGCAGGCTGGCTCTCCGGGCTGTCATCCAGGTTGTTTCAACAAGTGGGGTTTCCGACAGGTGCCTTGGTTCCAAATCACGGTCTGCTCAAGAAGAGTGTGAACTTGGGGTAGTGGGGGCTGATCCCAAAGCTGGGTGTGGGGGGGCCCCTTCTTGCCTAAATGTCCAGAGCATGAGGTGTGACTATGGCTTCCCGTACCCTCGGAATGTCTGAGTTACAGTGAGACCCAGCGGGACCGGGAGAGGCCGGACCTCACCTGGAAGTCACCAGAGTGTCATGCCAGGAATTCGGCAATTATCTGTTACTGGAAAACATCACTCCACTGCTGAATGGCTATTATTTCAGTAACAGTCTCGGGAACCATGGACATGTAATGATCAGACCATGCACAGGTGGGCTGGACTTGTTCACGGGCACATTAGTAAGCAGAGATACCAGTATTTCAAGCATGTGGTATTTGATCAGGACACAAGAGGACTGTACATGCATTCTAATACAGAGGGAGAGGTGGGGACTGGGAACAGGGATCTGGGGGGTAACGGGGGAGGGGAGTAACTGGGGCAAAGTAATCTCACGTCACGTATCTTAAATATCCAAGTGTTCATTATATATTATCCCATTGTTCCATAAACATATGCCAACCTCTTCTCATGTCACCCACAAGGCCACGAACTAACCACCGCTTACAACCGTCCTCCCAGTGCTGGCCTGGCGCAGCGGGCTCACCCCAACGTCTTGCGCTCCCAGCATTACCTGAGGGTTTATTACTGTACTTTTTGATAAAGTCCTTGGTGCAAGGCTGACATCAAAAAATTTAAATACATTATTGGTTTAAGAAAATGCTAGTGCACTATGGACATCTTTGGGGGAAAGTAAAGAAATAAATACGGAGTGGAGAGGTTCACCACACAGTCTCTGGGGCCCACTGCAGGGCACAGGGGTGCATTGGGTGTGCCGAGAAGGAGCACTGGGCAGAGCGGGGCGAACCTCGAGACTTGCACAGGCCACCTTTCCTCTGTGCCACAAGCATGGTACTCTCCTTTGCTGTCTTTAAAAATGGGTTGTGAATTTGGTATTCAAAGGAAGTGGGGGGCAGAAGTAAAGAATAAAGGGTAAAACCAACAGCCTGGGAGGGTAGTTTTAGTGTAGAACAAACGTCTGTCCAGGTCACGGCTGGCTACGCTGTCCATCGGCCCTTACCTACCACGGCTCGCCTGCTAGTTGGGTGCGGAGGCGGGCAGTGGGGTGGAGGTGGAGTGGAGTTTGGTCAGATTATATGTTGCTGTTGAACAGGAACTGAAATGAAACCAAACATTTTCAGATGAGCCCGACCCCACCCCTAGAGCTGCAGACTCCTACACGACCCTGGCTACCCGCCCCGGCCCCCAGCCACTCCAGCCTCCAGTGAAGGGGGTTCTGTTCTGCTTTGTTTTGTTTTACTAGCCCCTCCTTTCCTTCCCAAATATCACCCAAAGGAAAAAATTATTTGGATGTTTCTAAACCATCTGATGCACTCAAAGATGGTCACTTGGAAAGAGATAAAATATTTAAAATAATAAAAAAGAAAGTCTTCCTAAGTGATTTCAATGATCAGAGATTTGAGGCTATAATCCTCTCTTTTCCCCTTGACAGCAACACACTAATGTGTACATTTCTACTGAGATGGCATTTCTATTCCAAGTGAGGTGGAAACTGCTCTTTCTGGATGTCAACAGCAGGGTAAAAAGCCGGTGGCCACCCTGGGGTGACGTCTGACCCTGAGGCAGGGACCTCGAGGAAGCCTGTTTATGTAGATGGGGGTGATGAGCAGGACACAGCAAGATGGCTGTAACAAGAGGGACTCATGGAGAGAACAATGGAAAACCAGCGGGGGCACCCTGAGCAAATGCAGAAGCCACGCTTTGTTTTCTAGAGATAGTCTTCTGCTATTTTCTCCTTTAAACGGGCAAGCTCACAGGCGCTATCCAACGTCAGTGTGCACACAGCGGAGGAAGTGACTGAGTGCGACAGTGTCCTAAACCCTTAAACCTTCTTCTCCAAAGGAGTTAACATTCGTAAAAGTGTGGGAGTCTTTCCCTGGGAAATCAAATACAAATTGTATATCTGGTTACACCACCTAAGGGTACAAGAGGGTTTCGTAAGTGCCTAGTCTTTTTTTTTAAACTCAGAAATAACAAAAAGCTGCTTTTTATAAAGGTTAAAAACAACAATGTGTTGTAATTCCTTTCATCCCCCCAAAAAACAGATGAACAAAAAATAAAAAGAGAGAGAGAGTGAGACGTATTTGGCATTTTCTCTACTTACTCCTGAATAGGTTAAGGCCCTGAGATTAGACTTCTATTCTTGGGATGACAGGGCTCCTTAAAACCCCAGTGCATCAATCCTCAATTCTCTCGTTAGCCTTTCGCAGTTCCAGACTTTAAAAACCTTTGCCGTTTCCTCTGAGACTGGCTCAGATCCTTCCAGAGCCCTGAATGCTAATGCCGGGCAGTCAGCCAGTGCTTTCTGTACACGCGGTCTTGCCAGCACGTCCGTCAGTGAAAACATACCCTGTAGCAGAGGTACGCGCCGGCCGTGAGGACCGTGGCCATGCACATGTTGACCAAGAAGGGCTTCCAGGGACTCAGCACGTGGTCCTGCCCCTCCTCGGGTGGTGATGGCTCCCCCTGGGCAGGACCTGCCCCCACAGCCCGCCTTCTGACTTCAGTGTCTTGACTCATGCTAAGGAATGAGAGAGGCAGAGATGGGTTACTCGCTCTGGGGAAAATGATGGTGAGGATGCCATTACTATGGAAGGAATTCTAGGAAAAAATTAACCACAGGTAAACAGCTTGGCGATGCTGACCACTGGCCTGCAGCCCACTTGTCACTGCCTCCCCTGCAGAGACCTGGGCACCACGAGAGCCAGGGCAGTGTTCCGAAGACCCGTGAATTCCTTGGTGATGGAGGGTGGGCAAGGATCTGAGGAGAAACATAGCCACTGGTACAAAGACAAGTGCTAACTTTCCTCTGGGGTCTGTTTGTACAAAGTTCCCCTTGAGACCAGGACATGCCAATACCCGGTCCGCAGGCCCTCTGGCAGACACTGATGCACAAGGGCCTTTGTCTCTGCTGACACGAGGACCCACTGATGCTCAGTGCTGGCCCTCTGCCCACCCCGTCCCAGGCCCGAGCCCCCAGCACTGGTGCAATCCT